GCTAGTCGCCTCTCTAAGCTACTTTGCTTTGGGAGTGCCGTCTGGCCAGACTAATAAAGGACTGTTTTACTTTCCAACTTGTCCGGTGTGTTCCTTCCTGGGTGTTCTTCGCTGCAGTCAGCTCCTCGGAGCGTTTGGTGAGGGCCTCAGTCTTACAATTCCTGAGGTGAAGGTAAGGAAAATATTCTGGAGCAAATACATGATCATTTGGCCCATTAAGCTATTTTGTTGTAATATAATAGTGATGAAATTCAGTTTTCTTTGATCTTTTGCCAAATCCCACAGATTTCTGCCTAGCTTTTTATTTGGTTGTTCGGAAACATATTTGATCAGAAGAGTACAGTGCATTTTATTTAAGTGTCAACATGATATGTCACGCTTAAATATTTGGACGAACTGCCTATTGGTTTCCATTTATACCGATGCCTCAGTCCTGCAAATGACAGCCATGCCCGTGTTAAAGAGGACTGGGGCATCAGGCCCAGGTGCGGGTGGTCACACTGAGCCAGAGCCAGGTGTGCTCAGCACATGCCACGGTGCAGTGGAAGTGCAGATGGGGAGCGGCGAACTTGCAAAAGATGAGACAGGTTGGAAAGAGAGCTTGCAAGCTGCTCTCAGAGGTCTATGTCTATCCTGTGGGCCCCACAGCACCCAAGGGCTGGGCACGGGAAGAAGAGGTCCTGACTGTCTGAAAAGCAACTTCGTCGCTTTTTCTCCAGGCAGTCCGTCAAGCTCATCTACAAGGGAAAGCCGGAGACATCACTTTCCTTCTGACAAGGGATAGCAGGTTGAGTCTGCTAAGTCCATTGCAAACCTTACTTTATTTTCAGATTATAAGCTTTATTTTTAAACTTCTGTTAGTACAGTATATCTTTGCAGTACATAATGATTCCATGCATTATGGGGAGTTGGTACAAGTGCTTAGCGCATCTTAGTTACTGATACTCTCCCTTCCTTCTCCTCCCTCCTCCCTCTATCTCTAGATCCCCTTCCCATTGGCAAGGTTTTGAAGTCGTCTACTCTTGGAAAAATGAGGCTGGTTATTGTTCTTCCCTAAATCACCTTAGGCAGGAAAAAAATTGAGGAAAGAGAACATATTCTTTAAAATGGAATAGCTTGCCATTTTTTTCTGTTGTTCCTGGAATGTATGGATGAGATACCATCTGGGGGACCTGTTGGCTATGAAACTGGGGCAGGAGTCACGAGGTATTTGGTAAATGCACTGGGGATGGGAGGCGGCCCCCTCTAGACGCTCGCTCTATGCAAGTCCCTTCTACTCCATGAATCTTTCTCACATGTGGTTCCTTTAGGAGTTGGGGCAGAACTCAGAGGCAGGGCGCTCGCCTGACTTACTCTTCTACACTGCAAATAAAAACAAAATCAAATCCACATACTTGCCTTGGCTCTTGTGTCTTCGTTACGTGGTCACTCCCATGATCGTACGTCACATACAACATTTCATTGCCTGTGAACATTATTTCTGAAAAAGAAACACCACATTGATTATCTTAATTTATGAGGCTTCAGTCCACATTCAGCATAAACCTTGATATTGATTATTTCTCATCTTCCCAAAATGTTCAACTATGCCCGTGGGCTCAGTTTTGAGCAATGAAAAAAAAGAAAAAAGAGATGGCCTAGAGTTCACTTCCGTACCTTCTTCTATGCCTTGGGGCCATAGCACCTCAGCGGGAAGGACGTGGATCAGGGTGCAGGGAAAGGGAGAGTGAAGGACCAGCTCTTGTGGAGTCTCACACCTTCTCTGTAGCAGAGCAATATTAACATTTCCCAGGAAAAGCCAGGAGTAGCAACCCTACAAGCCATTTATTATAAACAACTGCAAGTAAAATAACAGGGGGCTGCTTTATGTCTGAAGAGAATTCATCTTTCATGCAGTTTCTCATCTAGTGACATCACTGTTTAGAGGTAGAGGGTTTGGCTGTTGGTTTTGTGTGCGTGGAAGCCCATGTGGCAATGTTCGCAGTGTTGTTTGCAGTCGTGCAAACACGGAAGTCATGGGGGAGTAGTTTGAAGCATAGCTTATTCATCAATTTAATTCACCTAGCAACTATTTATTGAGGGGCTACTACACGAACAAATTCACAAAATCCTTGCCCTTGAAGCTTCCATGATTATGGGAAGAAATAAAAAATAAAATGATCAATAAATATGAAGTACATTAGCAAGTAGTAAGTTCAATGGAAAATTAAAGCAAAATAAGGAAAATTAGAAGCATAAGGGTGGTTTTGCAATTTCAAATGAAATCACATCTATAATATGTCTTCATATGCAACTTTTAAAAATGAGACAAATGCATATAGTACAAAACAACTCAAAGACAAATTAAAAATAAAAAATGTAAGTTATAGAACAATATAACATTTGGTTATGCCTCTGTATATGGCTATGCCTTGGTGTGCATGTGTGTAAAAATCTACTATACTCCCAAACCATGCTTCTGCAAATCTTCCATCTCCTTCCAAAATACCTACCACTCAAACCCAAGGCAGACGCACTACATATCTCATTTTGACTCAGTGGATCTTTTTCTTCCTTTCATGCAGGTCTGGGAGCCCTTTGAGGGCTTTCTGCAAGGTTTCTGCTCCAGCAGCGTCGCTGCCCAGGCTCACAGCGGCTGCAGCGTCCAGGGTGCAGCTTTTTCCCCCATCTCTTCCTCTAGAGGCCGCCTTTATTCTTCTGGGCCACCTCTTCAGTTAAAGAGCCCTTTGTTCCCTTTTATCTAGAATTGCAAAATGTTTTTGCAGAGTTGGAAGGCTTGGGAGAGAGAGCACCTAGTCTACCATACCACTAGGAATGGAAGCAAGATTTTAGATCAATAGATGATAGATAAGAGATAGATACCCAGATAGATGGTACATAGATAATAGAGGATAGATGAGAGATATATAAGATAGGTATTAAACTACATAAATTTTAAAGTTAAAGTTGTGATATTTGCCCTTATTAGTTATTGCAAGAACTATATTGACAATAGATGCCATGCCATGGAAAGAGGCTCCTCTGCATGTCATAGCATTAGGACAGATCTTAGGAAAATTGACAGAGCCCTCCGGCAAGGCGGAGGATGTCAGGAAAGGCAGGCTCGAACTTTGCAAACAAATCTGAGTCCTTCTTCCTCTAAAAATGAGCACATCACAGTATTTATAACCTGTACTGTATTCTGTCAACCATGAAACAAAATTCTTTTTACCCATAATTTTTTGTTTCATTTCTAAAGATACAGGTGTGATCGTGTTACTAAATTATTTTCTGTGAAACTAGTTCTTTTTTTTTTCTTTTCTTTTTTTTTTGGTACCGGGGATCGAACTCGGGTCCTTTCGCTTGCGCAGCAGGCGGTGAAACCACTGAGCTAAATCCCTGGCCGGACTAGTTCTTTTTTTAAGCAGACTGACTTCAGATTTGTTCTTAACCTGAATCAATTACCCTCAGATAATGAAGACTTTCAGGATTCCCGGTTTAAAATTCAGAGTACGGAGAAGCCAAGCGTTCCAGGACCTTGCAGAGGTCTCCCAGGGGGTGACATGGAGCTGAGATGCTCTGAGCCAAGTCTCCGCGACCCCAGGGGATGGATTCTGTCCATTCTCCGCAGGGAGCCAGGGAGGTGCCGCCTCTACCTGTAGCACTGCTCCGACCCCCCCTCCCCCTCCCAGTTGGTTTGTTCCACTTCCTGTTTCTTAGTCTCTCCCAGACCTTGGCCTCTGGCTCCATTTGGCTAAGACCTGAGATCCAGTTCTGGGTGTGCTGTCCAAGCTTCCAACCCGGGAGACAGAAACTCTCTGTCTCTCCCCTGGGCCCCACTCCTCATGTTTCCAGGTGAGAGGGCCTGCTCAAATGGACCAGCTTCCCGTAGGCCCATAGCTGAAAGATAAGGGGCTGGAGATCAAGTCCCATGTCCTGCTCTTGTGATGTTGTGATTATCTTGGGCCTGAAGCTGGACCTGGCCAGCTTAGTGCCTGAGTCAGCGTGAGAGGTGAGCTACTGTTGCCTACTGGGCTGCCTTAGTCCCTGTGTCATTTCCTCTATGGGCTCTGCACAATACAGACATTTCACATATTCAGTAAATGATTTTCAATATATGATGATGAGAGACAATTTATAACCTTCTTATCATTAGTGATGTAATTGATAAGTACTCACGGCCGTATTATAAGGGATATTATTTCCATACATTGCATTTCCTTGACTAGAAGATTGCATATCACGCCTTTGGCAGGCACTAGGGTCTAGGAACACATAGCAGGTAATCAACATCCTGTGAGTATCGAGGTCAGATTTGCATAGAGTGAGTATAAACATGAAACCAAGTTATCTATAGTCATATGTACCCAATTATTGGGGACCTCTAGTACTGTTCAAATTAGATTTCATCTAGCAAAAATGAGATTTTTGAGAAAGCATTGTTTAACTTCTCTCTGCAGTCAGGGATTTTTTTCCATGTAGCCAACCTAAATGCTTCTATAGTTTGAGGTTGCTCCTCTGTCTTCAGAATAGATGGCAAGTATGTGGCAAGCAGAAGAAATCAAATACCCCTTTGGCTGTTGACTAATAGTTACCACATTACCTTTTAGCTACTTTTTCTCAGGGCCTATTATTCTAAGCTTTGTCATTACTATTTATGCTTTCAGTTCTGCCAGTTCCTCGTTCCTGACCTTGCCCATTTCTCTTCTCCCCTGTCCGATTCCCTCCCTCACTTTCAGCCCTCAACCCAGTGCCTGCCCCCCCCCCAGATGGCTTACTTCTGCCCCCCATTTTCCTACTCCCGCCCCCCTCTCTCCCTACTCCAACATGGCGGCCTTCTCCTCAGAACTCTGCTCTTCCTATTCCAGGGACTGTTTGTGACCAAGAAAGGATTTGATTCAGAGATTTCAATCCAAATCAATGAAAGAATTGGGATAGGCTGTTTTCCATTTTGTCAGGTAGGCCAGGAAAGGGCAGGAAAACACTGCAGGTGAGTGCAGAGGCCTCACTGACTGGCAGGGAAACCACAGAGCTTGCAGGTGAAGCCAAACCTCACCATGGCCAAAGCCCAGACGTTCAGTATGCCATATTGGCCGCTTCTCACACCTCGGCTATTAACTCCACACCTTCAGCTGTAGGAGTTGTGTTCTTGTTGTAATCCCTCTCTTACAGTCATGCCCAGCCCACCGTAGAAATGAAATAAAGATGTCTTAAGCCTAGACGGAGTTTCCTCGAATTTCTGTAAGCAGTAAAGTCCAGGAGGACTTTATGCTGAGTGAAAAATCCAGACCCAGAGAGAAAATACTGTATGATCTTACTTATCTGTGGATGTTTCTTTTAAAAATTCAGATGTACAAAGCTAGAGCATAAATGTGGGTGTTATTTTCTAAAAGGTGAAATATTAAGAGGTAGAGAATAAAGCAGTGGTTACCAGGAAGGGGTGGGAGGGAGTAGAAAGATATAGGTCAAGAGATGCAAAGTGTCAAATACATAGGATGCACAGATTGAAAAATGTAATGTAAACCACAAGGCTTCTAGTTACTAAGTGTGTTGTAGTGCAGACCTTTCCTAAATGAGTAGATTACAGGTGTCTTTCTTCCCTCTTTGCCACAGGGCTATGTTAATTTTCCCACTATAGTAACCATTTTACTGTGTGTGTGTGTGTGTGTGTGTGTGTGTGTGTGTCTTAAAATCCAGCAAACATGTACTAATCTTAAATAATTAGTATGAAATCTGCCTTTGGTCAAGTTTGTAGTGTCCTTGACCTCAGGATGGTTTATTTGGTTAAATGGCAGTAAAAAGAGACTGAAAGAAAGGGAAAAGAGAAGAAATGGGAAGAGGGGAAGGAAGGGATGGAGGTAGGGAAAGGAGCAAGGAAAGATGGAAACAAGGGAGGAAGGAAAGAAACAAGGAAGGAAGGAAGGGTAGGGAAAGTCTGGAGCCTTGGGTCGGGTTAGATGAGGGAGCCGGGCCCCTTTCAGAAGTAGAAAGGAAATAGCTTCTGCCTCACAGCGTGTGTCTGAGCTGACAGCCTGCAGTGTGGCGCCTTCTGCCTGAGGAGGTTACTTCTCCCCTCAACGTTCCCCTACTGGCCCACCAAACGTAGCCCCCTAGCAACAAGTCCAGTAACCAACCAAATAGTGACCCTCAGAGGCAGTGGAGATGGGGCCCCTACCCCATAAAACAGAACTGCAGCCCCAGATTTATTGATACTCCAGCTCTGGGCCCTCCCACTCCTGCAAAGCAGGCTTTATACCATTTCCTCTGGCAATACCTGTAATAAAGTTGCTTCGCACTGGTCTTCTGACTCCTCTTCCTCTTTCTATGTCAGAGAGAGGGACAGGCCTGGCTAGGTGAGTCTGGGAACCCTTGTACCCCAGACCCACCAACTTCAACAGAGGGAAGGAAGGGGAAGGGGAAGGGGAAGGGGAAGGGGGAGGGAAGGGAAATAAATAGCAGGGCAGTAGTGGGTAGCTGCCAAGTCTAACAAATTTATGATCT